GAGATATTAACTTACCCGTAAAAAACTTTCACAGGGCCGTACGCGTTACCCGCGGGTACATGAATTTAAATTTGCGGGGTCACACGTGGGTGGGGGACGTTCGGCCGTACACGTTACCCGTGGGTACGGGGAAGCTGAATTTAAATTTGTGGGGTCACACGTGGGTGGGAAACGTTACCCTATTCAGCGCTTTGCTTTTGTGGTTCCCGAGTTGAAAGTTGCGGACAAGTTGCTGCGGACACACACACACAAACACACACACAGACAACCTCGTAACAATATGCGTTTTGTACTGCTGTTACACAGCACAAGACGCATAAAAAGTGTCAATGGCGTCCTTCCGAGGATTGCTTAAAAGGAATTTGATGGGGATTTCATCTCTTTCAAAGTAATAACAGGTAATATGTGCTATTTTTGGCTCCAGACGCACAATACGAAAAAAGGGTGTTTTACACATCTATCTTCCTGTCTAAAAAAAACAGAACAAATTGTTTGCAATATTAGGTTCACATTTAGTCAAAACTAATCTTACCTGAATGATATATTTGTGCAAGTAATAGCTAGCATTGAGGTATTTTAACTTTTTACATTGATCTTCGTTGAATGAAGGCCATGACGGATAACAAATCGTGCTAATATTTTCGGAATAAGCTAAAAATTTTCAAAATTATAAAATGCACACATATATAAACATATACACATGAACAGGTGGACAGGGCAGATAGACGTAACCTCCACAATGCTTTTTCGAATTAATAGAAAAAAAAAGATTTGCAGTAAACTGTAACCATCAAAAATATGCTCCAGTAAAAATCTGTATTAGTAATTCCTATTTTTAAAAAATCTGAAATGAATAATTCACTTCAAAAAGACTAACAAAGTGGTGAAGTTCCGCTGCACTGATCCGATAGCACTGAAACTGGATATTGAAATGCCACCACTGCTTGATCATTGTCGTCGTCCAGGATTTCGACTGTCCCAACCTGAAGCATTATAGGAGCACATAATGTCCTCTGTTACGCATAAGAAAATATTAAAGAGCTTTTGGCTCAGTTCAACCATTTTTGAGGCTATTCTAATAAAAATAATTCGCCAGTTTGATGAAAAAAACAATCTGCAGAACTGAAAAGGGTGGTACCAGTGATGCCCCTATCGAAATACGACCCCGCAAATTCAAACTCAGCCCTCTAGTACGTTTTAAAGGCCATTAAATGCATCGACTATGCTTTCGTAAAAGTTATACAGGGACCACAAAGTCTTACAAGTGAGAAGATTGAGAACTTTCCCATGCAGAATCTGCAAAAGATCCAAAATGGTACCTGTGATGAAGAAACAAGGGCATATCGAGCTGGAACATATTTCTCAAAACGACTTGACGTGATAAATGCGTTATTCGAAACACCGAGCACATTTTCTTTAACAGAAACCATTGTTAAAACCGACTGAATTTCTCCTGCATTTTTTCATCAAAGTTGTCAGAATTCAAGCGATTTTTACAAAATTTATTATTTTGTTAAAGTTCAATGTTTTGCTTAATATTAATGTTTTGTTTGATATGAAGAGATAGATTAATATTTTGCTATTTCGATCAGCTATAATTCAAAGCTTGATAACTTTTTCGGTCTCCCTGAATGGTTGCGCAAATGGCCTGATGGTCGCACACAGCCTTGAGAACCTAACGTTGACTTTTACGCCTGAAATGAGTACCAACTCAGCGATTCTTCTGACAGAAGCATTCGTTTCGGATAGTTGCCCCACTTCATTTGCTATCGCAGGTGTCCGAAAAATCAGTAAAATGCTTTCGTGTTCATTTCACAGTGACATTTGTTCCAAAGTAACTAGGAGCAGTGTATTTGGACAGGGGATAGAGAAAGAACAGATTATTTTACTGAGAAAGACGATTTTTCCAGTACGACGCTTATGTGAACGAATAAAAAAGTATCAGTTTTCAAAGTATTACCAGAAGAGTTTTGGGCTAAAATTTTCCAGGAAGCTTTGTTAGGAAAATTGTCATTTTTATGCAAAGATCACAGCAAAAACTAACCGTTTCTGCGAACGACGCAAAATAGCTTGCTGGATGGATTCAGCGGCTTCAACGAATGTAAAAAAACAGATTTGATGCAAACTTCGGTTAGAACGCGCTTGTACAGAAGAAAAATTAAAGCAAAAGTGACCAGAACCATTGATTTGAACTCACAAATCGCCTGATGCGAAGTTTTTACGCTTTAGAATGAGTGGGCATTTTGATTTAGAGCTATCATCAGGAAGGTCAAAATATTCGAAATTTTCTTCGGTTTGTTGATTAACACTG